GAGGCATAAGGGAGAAAGGGTCCTGTGAGCCTGGAAAATGCTTTATTCAGGGAGAGGAAAAAGGATATGGAGTCTGAGCTCATCTCCACTCACCAAAAACAAACAAAAAACACAGAAGCTGCCTGAGAGTTTGCTTAACTGCTTACGTCTGTTGCCATTACCATCAAAACCTGAACCACTCTATCCATAGATCACCCTGGTAGTTTCTTAAAAGATTTACATAATTAGTGTCAATTCCACAACAGTGTTCTTTAGTTTCATTTCTTTGCCAAGCATCTTGAAAGGTCTTGCTAATATGTCATCAAGGAGGAAAGGAAAACAATAAAAAATGAACATAGACTCAGAAAACAGTGTTGGTAAATTCTATACATCACCACACACACACTGTTAGATCAGTTGTGAACTGTGGCACATACTGCATATTCTATAGCCCCAAGCAAAGCTCTAATCACTAGGACTGCACTGACAAAACAGCAAATAAATCATTCTATCCTCATTTCCCTAACTAGGAACACTAAATACAGAGCTAAGTGAGTCTCTACTATGTACTGCAAAGACAGGATGCTCTAAAAGAAGCCGGCAGAATAGAGAGGTTCCTGTGAGAAGGAGATAAGAATGTCCTGCTTTTACCACTGTCCGTGAAGTCAATTATGTTCAATCCCAAGTCTTCAGTTTTATAATGTGAAAAATAAATATTTTAAAAAATTATTTCTTCAGGTAACATTTTTACTGAAGGCATGCCAAAATATCATTTTGGTATCATAAAAGATTTCTTACCAAATGGGAATATCAGTTCTACCTCTCTTTAATAAAAGGTGACCAATATGGAATTTCATTAAGCTCTTGATATAGATTTTTAGGGTGTGCTTATCACTAACATTTTACTAATTTAGCATAAAGCTAGGAGATAATGAGAATAAAGTAGAAGGTCATTAAAGTGTTAAAAAAAAAAATACCCAACCCTCAGGGTGCCTGGGTAGTGCAGTTGGTTAAGCTTCTGACCCTTGATTTCGGCTCAGGTCATGGTCTCAGGGTCATGATCTCAGGATTGTGAGATCCAGGCCCTTGTCGGGCACTGCACTGAGCACAGAGTCTTAAGACTCTCTCCCTTTCCCTCTGCCCCCTCCTCCCCCCCCCAAGCACAAGTGCTCTCTCACTCTCTCAAATAAATAAATCTTAAAAAAAAACCCACAAAGAATAAATTCTAAAAATCTAAAAAGTTGATTAAAGCAACTCCTTCCCTTAATTACTTTAAGGGGAGAATGAGCTAGCATCAACAGACGTGTCTCCTATAGTCTACATTATTGCTCAGAGGTATAAAAGAGCTTAGAGTCTTCTTCCAAAATGATAAAAGTATGTGCCCCATATTCCTTTAAGGTTCTACACATTAGGAGCTGTGCCTGTATCCTATGTGAACACAGTGAAGCAACATCTGTCCAATGACAGGGGAATGTTTTTCACCTCCTTTATAAATGTGTGCAGTCTGTGCTCATGTATATTTATACAAGCCTGCTTTCCCTACAGGGAGGAAAAAGTCAGACTCATTGACGTTGTTTTTGACCCTCAAACTGAACTTGATACTATCGATGTACACTTTAATTAAAGATTAGTTCAAAGCTATTTTTTATTTAACGGCTGATTCTAAACAAATGCCTTCACTGTTCAATTAAAAATAATTTATGTTATTAAAAAGTGTACACATGATTGCTTCTTTCTGTGTTTGTCACAGTAAATACTTCTGACAGATGTTTCCTCTCTTTTCAAACATGCTAGGAGGTGCTTGAGACTTAGTAATTTTAAAATAGACATTAAATGCATTTACATATTTTAAGTAAGATCCACTGAGAATACTGTAGAGCACTGTACACTGAAGAAAGCAAATTGTTACTTGATTATTTATCTTTCAAGCCTAAGCCCTGTCCATAGAGTCAATTCATCTCTTTTGTTACTATAAAAATAACTGTGTAGCTGGGTTAGAATGCCTTAGTTTCAGATACTTTTAAGGAATGTGAATCTCTGGGACCCATAATTCACTGGGAAATGTTCACTGTACATTATAAAATACCTACTATCTTTAGTTAGAATATGGAAGTATTAGGTTTCTTTGAGTTAAAAAGTGAACTTTAAAAACAGTAAAAATAACTTGCTTTCACCACTGCTAAGGTTATGTTTGAACAGTTGTAACAACAGATCTTCTATGTGCCTCAAGAGTTTTTAAAACTTAGGTAATATTTTTAGTTACAAAACTCTGGGATGATCTTATATAAACTCATCTGCAAAGCTCTAAATGCCTTTAATTATGCTGTGTTAAACCTAACCTCAGTCTAATTCATTTCATATGCAAAATAAACTTCTACGTATCAGTAATGGAGATATAATATTAAGACTTTGATTTGCAGTTAGTTGTCAAGGAACCCTTCTGAAATTAGGACACCCTCCTTTAAAAAAAGCAATAGTGGTAAGCAACAAAGGGTTTTTTAAGAACAATCTAAGCTAGGTTTTGTGACTTCTAGTCTCAATTCTGTCAATGGCTTACTCTGTGAACAAGAGTTATGCAAGATCTAATTTTTAAGAATTATGTTATTTACCCCATTTTAAAATGTCTACTTTGATACCTGAATATTCACTACCTTAATTTTTAAGAACAGCAGAACCCTCTAAGATAAGAATATGATCAGACCCATTTTATAGCCGGGGGAAATGAGCATTGGAGAGGCCCAGTCAGAGAGGGGCCCAAAGTCACACAACGGCCATGAGGCAGAGCTGGAACTTGAATTCGGGTCACTGACTCTAAAAGCCAAGCTCTCAACTAATCTGCAAGGGGTCTCAAAAACGCCCTCTGGTATAGGCAGGTAAAATATGTGAGGGAAGAAGGGAGAATGTGATTGAGGTGAACTGAAGAGCATATGTCCACCCACCTAAGGGCATCTGCAGCTACTCCACTCCAAAACATTATAGTCAGGCAGAACTTTCTCAAGTTCTTAAACTTGAGAAATCAGACTAACTGACAAGCAAGATATCTAGATTAAGAAATCAATGGATTTTAAAATATTGGCTCAATTTTTCTTAAAAAATATATATTAAAATGGATAAAAAGAAAAAGAATCTGGTAATGCTAGCAAAGATAAGGAACAACTGGAAATCTTGTGCATTGCTGATGGGAATGCAAAAATAGTACAGCCACTTTGGAAAACAGTCTGACATACTTTTATAAAGTTAAACATGTACTTACCACATCTAACAGTCCCACTGTTAGTCCAAGGTATTTTTCCAAGTGAAATGAAAACCTATATGCACACAAAAATCTATACCCAAACGTGTATAGTGGCTTATTCATAACCACCCAAAACAAAACGACCCAAAGACCTGACACTGGGGAATGGATAAACAAACTGTGGTATATCCATGTAATGGAATACTACTCAGCATTAAAAAGGAATGAACTACTGATACACAAAACAACATGGCAGATCTCAAAGTATTATGCTAGGCTAAAGAAGCCAACTTAAAAGGGTATGTATACATTGTAGGATTCTATGAAGTTCTGGCAAAGCTCAAACTATAGAGACAGAAAACAGATCAGTAAGTTGCCAAGGCCTAGGAGTAGAATGCACAAAGTCACAACGGAATGGAAGGGTGGGATGATGAAATGTGTATCTTTACTGTGGTAGTTTTTATCAAAACTTGCTGAACTATATACTCAAAAGAATGAATTTAACTATGTACATTATACCTTAACTAAACAATAAGGGAAAGAGTTGAAAGATGAAAAAAAAGCACCAATTATATAAAACCTAAGTTTTATTATGTACACACACACACACACACACACACATATATAAAACAGCAATATACTTTCTTCCCTGATATGTGTGATTATTTTACATAATGAAGATAGTAAGTTAAGGACAAATTGATAGAGAAAGACACATAATTTTAAGATCTACACCATACTCCACAAAATAAAATCTATTGCACCCTAAAGCCATCTGCTTTCTGGAAGACTAGACAAGAACTCCAAAAAATATACTGTACTATTATGAAAAGAGTGTTTGAATTAATAGGGAGTCAAGTTAAAATATGCCCCTTATTGCAGTAACAGATACAAAAAATGTTTTGCAAATTATGAAGAACTCTACAAATATTAAATAGAGTAGGTATGGTAAAAAGCACAAGGAATTAGGGTCAGTCAGCCTGGCTCGAACCCTGTCTCTGCCACTTACTAGCTGTGTGACCTTGACAAATTGCTTAATCCCACTGAGTCTTATTTTCTCAACCATAAAATGTAAAATCCTCAAAGGGTTTTTGTAGACTAAATGAGAAAATAGTGTTTTTTTGTAAAGCACTTTGCACATATAGTTAAATAAGGTACCTGTTACCAATGTATGTAAGGGTGAAAATTTGAAGATTTTCATCTTCTATTTTTAACTTAATGGCAAATAATGGCTTCTTGCGGGAATAGGACTACTCTAGAATCATGAAAGGATTCGGAGAGGCTGCTCAGAGTGGCAGCAGGTAAGATGAGGTGGCCCAAAGTGGTTGGTATTGTTTCACCAATCTTTTCTTTTGAACCTGACTACCAGGCAATATAAATGTCCACTTTCCAGCCTCTGTTATCAGTGAAGAGCTTCCCTGGTGCCCCCACCTCCACCCCACCTCCTCCGCTTAACAGGAGGCTTTAGCAGGCTAGGCTAGGGTGAGGCATGTGAGATGCCAAGGGTGCAAAAGTTAAGGAGCTCTAGGCATTTGCCTCACCCTGGCCCAGCCAACCTTCCCTCCAAAATTCTTATTTCCACACTTCTCCCAACACATAGATTTTCCACGTTCTTCTCTACTCTGGGGGTGGGGGAAGGAATCTTTCTGCTTCCTTTAAAAGATTCACAGTTTGGTGACTAATCATTAACCTCTACTATTGTTGTATCCTAGAGTCTGTATGTTTGTTCCCATTTTGGGTAACTTTCATTTTTGAAATATTCCTGTTTTTTTCTCTATTAATACAGGTATCCCTCTTTGAAGGAATCTGAAAGCTTGCTGACAAAAGTGATATACTTGAACTTCACCTTCTCCGAACAAAAGTAAAAGAAAATTTGTAAAAAAAAAGATGAATAAACTCAGCCTTAAGTGATCTGAAACGTATGTTTTTTTACCTTTATACTACCAGGCAGTATCATCTTTTGTAGTTTGTAGCTCTAGGGTATCTCACTATATAAGAAAAACCTTTAAGTGGTTTGATTTGCTTCTTTATGGCATCTGAAACATTGCTTTTCAATTGCTTTTGCCTCATTACATACAATTTACTGAGAAAATAAAGATGTGCTTCCTCATTCATCAAAAGTAATCCTTTTTGAGCCAATGGTATTTTGGTCCATCTTTTTTAAAGTGTAAATCTAATTACAGTTATTGAACGGGAACTGAAGATTATTATTATTCTGATTCACTTATATACCTGAAGTGTAGAATGATATATTAAAATGCAAGTTTTCACCATTACTACGTACTACTTAATAGTTCCAATTTAAAAATCTATTGTACAGAAATTACGTCTCATATATAAGAGCAATTTCATCAATGATATTTTAAATTTGATATTGTCTTGACTCCAAAGATTTTTAAATGTCCTGCTCTTCGAACTGAGGGCATTATTTCAAGGACATACTAACTGCGTTCTAGAAACTATCGTGCGTCCACTGAGACTTCACCTCTGAAGGCCCTGGGCCCAGGACCCGCGGGAGCCACAGGGTTGGGGGCGTCCCGGGCCCAGCGCTTCCCGCTCGGTATCTGAATAGGCCAAGCGGCGCCGAGCCAGCATCAGCTCTCAAAGAGCCTCGGAGAGAGCCCCTCACCGGACAGCTTGCAGGCCACGTTTCCCACGGGCCGCCAAGTGCAAGACATCTCAGGCGAGTTCCCGGCGGGGGGGCGGAGCCAGGACGAATTTTAGGGCCAAAAAACGAAACAAAGCGGGGCCCCGCGTGTGCGACGGAGGCGACCCGCAACGGTCCGCGCCCCCGGGGAAGAAGCGACCGCGATCCCAGGGCCGTTCACTCCGGTTTGGGAACTTCCAAATATCCCCGAAGGCGCACTATCTCCGAGCGGCTATAAACTGGTCACGGAGTACCGAGGTGGAGGGACTACTGCTTCAATTAGGGCAGCATGAAACATTTACCTTGGTGGTAGAATAATAGGTTAGCGCATCGCAGCGACACACTCCACATTTCCTCAGAAAAAAGTCACGCTCGGCAAAACGGCAGGGTTCCCGCCTCAGCCCGGCGCCTGCCTGGGAGGCGCTCGCGCTCAGGCCGGACCCGTGACGGAAAGCCGGCGGCGAGGCGAGGGAACTGGCGAGGCCGCCCAGCGGGCCTTCAACACAGCCGACGCTCGACGTGCTGCGCCTGTAGTCACGCCTCGGGGCGAACCCGGACGGGGCGGGGGGCGGGGCCATAACGACGCCCCGCCCCCTATGGCCCCGCCCCGCCGGGCCATTTGATTAATGAATCTCAGCCCCTGGCAGAGCCCCTCAGGTGGGTGCGGACCTCGGCGGGTCCGGCTGTCCCAGCCCTACATCGAGTCTGGCCCACACACGCCTGGCCACGGGGGCGACCGCATAAAACGCGCGCCCAGCAGGGCCTAGAAGCGGCTGTCGACTTCGGCTGGACAAGGATGGAGTGACCTGTGCGGCCCTGGCCACTCAGACCAAGCTCGACGCTCCTGGTCCGCTATTGCAGCGGAGCGGAGCCCTGCACGGCCGCTCCAGGAAAGGTGAGAACCTCGGTCCGACCCCAGACGCGTCGCTTGGTCCCCAGGTTCGTTAGGATAGCGGGTGCCTAGGTCCAAGGTGAGGTCAGGGGTCCCCTCTCCTCCCGCAGAAATTAGAATGAGCTCCCGCCGTCACCCCCGGGAACCCTGACCTCGGGAACGAATGATGCGAGGGCTGCCCGCGTGGGCAATGAGGACCCTGGCGAGGCCAGGGCTTCCCGCTGCGCCCGCGAGAATGACCTGCCCATCTCTCCCGCGGGGCTAGCGCATAAAGTTCCAGAAGTGCAAACAAGTTCCGAACCGGAGCACCGCTTCCAAGATCTTCCTTCCTCGGTAGAATAGCCCTTTCACTTAATTTGTCCCTGAAAAGTAAAGCCGGCACAGTGCCCCTCCTGAGCCTTCTAAGCCCAGGAACTGTCAGGCCTCACAACTCTCCCAAGACGGGGGGAGGTAAACACGCCCCAGGCAAAACGACCTCATCTCTGAGAACGCCCCGAGCCACGTCGATGGCCCGGCCCGGCATGCAGTTGAAGCGAGAGGCCTGCGGTTCCCCGGGTTAAGCCCGACCGGCGCCGGGTCTCACCGCGCCTTGGGTCCTTTGCAGGGCACGCAGCGCGGGAAGCCGCCATGGACCGCGACGGCCCCGCAGGCAGCCCCCTGATCGCTAGCAACGAGACCGCGCCCCCGGTTGCCGCCACCCGCGACTCGAGCCCCGGCAGGGCCGGGCCAGGACCCG